GCTGTCACGCACATGCAAACACACACACACACACACACACACACACACACACACGCACTGCGGTTAAGTGTTGCTCATTCTGCTCTGGGCCTTGTTGCTCTGTGAAGGTTGATAGTTGAGTTATATTAGCACTAATGGATTTCCTGTGTAATGAATGAGAGAACCCCCCCCCCCCCCCCCCCCGCCCACCCACGGCTGGCAAAAACAGGCACGACAGCATCGCCGCCGATGCGTTGTTATGCAAATGCGGCGGCGTGCGGTGATGCGCTCTTTCAAATGAAGTGTTGGAAATGGGAGACAGGCTCAATGACGGGGAAATTCCCCAGCACTCAGAGGGCAGACGGCTTTTAATTTTTTGTAAAGGAATAAAAATGAAATTTTGGATGCACCACCGAATTATCAGCGGCGCCGGCGTTTAAATTAACTCGCATTTTTTTTTCTGGCTAAAATTACTCGGGCTGAAATGGAGCTGCGACGAAAATGTGACAGTTACCATTCCCGCCCAACCATCCACATCCACACACACACACACAACACACACACACACACACACACATACACACACACACAACACACACACACACACACACACACACCACACCGTACACACACACACAAAGTATGCATAAATATACTGAAATCCGCATGTCAAGTTGTATTACAAAGTCATATTGAAAATAATTTACTTACCATTGTTGTTTCGGCAATGACCCAAAACTGTTGATAAAAATGTTGCAGGTTACGTTCACAGGCGGACCTGCAGAGGGAGAGAAGACACGACACAGACAGAGGATTAGACTTCATCAGAAAACACTGTAGCTGTTCTGCATCTGTAGGAAGTATTTCAACAAAAATAACGCATAACTTAAGATGAGATCGTCAGAAAAACGCCAATAAACACGAGAGGAAGGAAAACAAAGGCTGGAATTCATACAGAGGCTGAATGTTTTAATGTTTTTTAATTAAAAACCATCCATCATGTTAACTGACCACCCCGATGATGAACTAGACTACATTTTGTTTTCGTCTCACATTGTGTGTTGTTTGTTTCTGTTTCACCGGTGGATTCGTTTTCTCTTTAGCTTCTAAAATGGTCCACGAAGTTCATCAGGTCGTCCCTGACTTCATCTGTCAGGTACTGAACCGCAGGTCTGTAGTTAAAACCAAAACAATGAGCTGAAAGAAACTAAAACACTCCTCAGAGTTGAGAGGATTTGTAAGTAATTCTCTGTTTGTCACCCAAGCACCACCCGTCACCACCGTCACCACCTGTCACACCACCCACTCACCACCGTCACGACCCCGTCACCACCTTCAACCACCCGTCACACCTTCACCACCTGTCACCACCTTCACACCCGTCACCCTATCACCACCGTTCACCACCTATCAACCACCCGTCACTCACCTATCACCACCTGTCACCACCTATCCACCACCCGTCACCACCTATCACCACCTGTCACCTTACATCAAGTCATTTGATCAGTTGTTGATATGGAAAATATTAAGTGCATCTTTAAGATTTATTTTCATAAGTCGGTGGTCCCTCAACCTTTCTTCCTCTTCCTCTTGCGGGACAATTAAAGATCTGAACCTAACTGAGGTGGACTCAGGTGGACTCAGGTGGACTGAAGTGGACTCAGGTGGACTCAGGTGGACTGAAGTGACTCAGGTGGACTCAGGTGACTGAGGTGGAGTCTAAAGCTGAGTGAGCTGACGGACTGGAGGAAGTAAACTGGGTCCTCACAGCTTCTTTTGTGGCGGCGCTGAATAAAAGCCTCTGCTCTGAGCTTAAACCCCGACGCAGCGTCCGACGCAGGAAGTCAGTTCCTGAGCCGTCGAGAAGGAAAAGGGTGTAAACATCTCAGCGCAACTTAAGAAAACTGGAGACGAGAAATCAATTTCACATCTCCTTTGTGCGTCGCTCAAACTGTCAATGAACACGGAGTCATTTCAAAGGAACTGGTAATGACAGAAACAGTCCCCTCGCCGCCACCTTCCTCTCAGAGGTGAGACGCTGCGTTCAAGGAGTTTTTCAGATGAGAGAGTCAAGGTGAGAGTAAATAAACGGCGTCCAGGCCTTTTGCGGCGGCTCCCATTGAGTTTGCTGTATTACCAGGTTGTACAAACACAAATGGCGATTACTTGGCGCAGGAGTGGAGTGTGAGCGTGAGGAGCGCGGAGGACGGTCAAACAGTCCGCCGCCTCTCATCTCTGTCAGGCGGTCGGACGATATATCGGCTTTCTAACTCTGTACGTAACACACGGACATGGACGCGGCACCGTCTTCTCTCACTGGTGTGAAAGCAGCAGCTCTTTGTCTCAGGGTTAACACTGGGTTGAGGTGTGGTGTGTGTTCAAGCTGACAAGACTCTACGACAACGCGAGAGCCGCGTGTCAGCGCACACGTCCTCCGTGCGTGACGACCGTCTGGCTCTGCCGTGGCCTCTAGGGTTGTGTCGTGTCTGTGGTTGCAGCTCGTGGTTGCTCTCCCTTCAGGTGCTGGTGGGCGGAGTTACCGCTCACCCAGAATGCATTGGAGACCATCCATCCCCACTGTCTCTCTCCATCACTGGATCTCCCTCTGGTTTTGCCACACTTTCACACATCGGCTGCACATTTCACACACGTCGTCGATGTTCTCTGCTTTTCTTTTCATTATGTAATTAAAATGTGATTTTATTTCAAGCACCACTGTGAGCTCCTCCTCCTCCTCCTCCTCCTCCTTCCCTGTCTGAGAGTCGAGTCAAGACAAGAACAAAATTGTTTTTTTTTGAACATCTTTTTCTTTTTTATTTACTTTAACTTAAAACTTGAAGTCCTTGCAGCTGTTAACATCCTTTCCTCTGACCTTGCACAGACTCTCTCATCGTGTCTGACTGTTTTTCCTCAGCACCTTTTTTTCCTGAACATTAAAGATGCCGAGTGGAAACTCAGTACAAAGAATCCCAAAAGGGCTTCTCATCGTTTAAGAGAGATAAAAAACTTGCGTCTGCTTAATGAACTGTTGTAATCTCCGTGGGTGAAAATACATAAAACCTGATCATACAACTATTATGATGTACATTCAGTACTTTCCATTCATCATTACAGAGGCATTAGACTGCTACAAACTTAATTCTTTACCTAATTAGCTCCTCTGCAACCAGACTGGTCCAATAAAAAGAAAAAATGCAACTCTGCACTTCTCATGTATAGGAAATGTATTAAAATCTTTGTCTGAAGAAATAATTAGATCACTGCCTGCACATTTGAGCTAACTTTTTTTTTGTAATCTGATTACTGTAATCCATTATATTTAAATCCTCTCCTATCCAGTCCCGAGTGTGTGTTAGAGAAAAAGGGTTTTTTAATACGGTGCTGGATAACAAAATGTAATTTTTAATAAGTCAAGAGGATGGATCAGTTCAGTCACATTCTGATACATGTTGATGCGACTTAAGGTCAAACATTGCTTCATGCAAACACACACACACAACCACACACACACACACACACACACACACACACACACACACACACACCCACACACACAGAGAGAAAGAGAGAGTTTGTGTTAAAATGTCTGACTAAACTCGGTGTCTATTCACTCGCCGGCGGCGAGCGGGAATGAAGAAGGGGTCTGGATTATTTTGATGGCCATTACTCTCCCTGTCACAGTCTGAGGACTGCTGGAGGCCCACTGGGGAGGAGGAATATATTCAAACACACACACACACACACACACACACACACAACACACACACACACACACACACACACACACACACACACACACACAACTGTGGTTAAGCCATAGAGTAGAATCATAGGGTTGAGGATGCACGGTTAAAGAGGAGAAAAATCATTAAAGGTGGCCGGAGGCGCTCGTTCCCTACGTGACTTACATGTACAGCATCTAATTAGAACAAACAATAGATTACTCACAGGGGTGCGTAGAGGAGGGAAAGAATGAAGTAATAAAGACGGAAGTTTTCGGATATTAAATCAACCAGTGCAGCAAATGAAAGTGGCTGCGGATGAAATGAGTTTGTTCCAGTGCGACTGAAGAGAACAGCTGACGGAGGCGAGGGAGACACTTAAACTGCCGGGTTAGGGTCAAGCACTTCAAAGGGGGAGAGACACACTGATGCTTGAACTGTGGAAGCCTTCGTGGCTTTGTTGTAGCTCCACAAGCACGTCGCTGAAGTGTTGACGGGCTGATCCTCATGCTAGTTTAAATGCATGAGACTTACAAACATGGTGGGAAGCTGCATCACTTACTGAGGCTCTGTTTCTGCTGCTTGTAAGGGTCATTGTTTTCAGGTTTCTTTTACTCGCACACAAACTGATTGTGCTCCTTGCTGCAACAACACACAGATGACTTGTGAATCTGGTCATTAGAAAAATGAGGAGAAAATTAGGGAGAAACACAATGAGCTGATTAGACTCCGGAGTTCCTATAAAGTGCTGGATTAGTAAAGGTGGCTATATCGAAAACACACACTCTCACAGGCAGCAAATGGACGGCAAACCCTGAGCAAAACATCTCAGATGTCTGAGT